ACTTTTAAGAGGCTTAAGAGTTTCTTTAGCAGTGGAGAAAATGGATGAAACATGAAGAGGGAGAAGAAATGTTTTGCACACAATGCATGACAGTGAGTTAACAAGACACTACACATTAGATGGTGCAGGGATCATGTTATTAGAGACACGCTAACATCTCCGACACCGCGCAAAAATAAAGAATATATATACATATATAATGTGTGTGTGTGTGTGTGTGTGTGTGTGTGAGAGAGAGAGAGAGAGAGAGAGAGACAGAGAGAGAGAGAGAGAGAGAGAGAGAGAGCGGTAAAACAGGAAAAATGACGCCTGTAATTTCAAAGTGAAGACTTATAATAGACCCTACTCTTTTATTTCCTTATTAGACAACCAACCAATCACAGTCTTCAAAAGACTGTGTCATAGCTAGCAACGGGGTCAGCCCCGCCTCCTCACTAAGATAAAAGTTTTTGTCTTTTCCTCGTTCAGAGTTGCTCTCAGATTGGTCCTGAATCACTTTTAAGCTAAGACTCCTAGTTAGAATTTATTAAGCTAAATTAGGAGCTCTCTGGGAGGATTCTTAGAATCTTTAAGAATACGGGCCTTGGAGTTTGAGGCATACAAGGTACAAAGAGCTGTAGTCAATATATAGATGAGCTTATCATCAGCTGAAATTCTGAACATCCCACTTTCCACTCACCCTTCCTGCTTGAGACTCTCACTTCCTGTTGTGAAGCACCCGTCTGACCCATCACTAACACTCCATATCAAAGAGCTTTGAACTGAAGAAGAACACAGCAGAGATGAGTTGCAGTGTGCTCAGAGTTGGCACGGACTGCACAAAGCCAAGGCCATACATTCCACAGAGCTATTTTTCACATGACTATGATCTGTATCCGAGAACCTTCTATATTTACTAATGGATGCCAGATCTCGATTGTACTCCTCCAGAAAACCAACTCACTGTCTCCACAGCCAATGTAATGACAAAAAAATTCAGAGCAGATGTAAACTATTTGTGTTAAATGTGCTTCATCTGTTCTGTAACCTGCCTAGGAATTATGACTAGTGGGATGTTTTACAAACAAGGTAGTGTGACTTTGGGCAGTTTGGCTGCTTATTCTTACTAGGTAATATAAAAACCAAAAAACATCTAGGAAAGTACTTTGACCACAATCCAATCTACTTCATGCTTTACAGCTGAACGGAACAGTGCTAAAAAAAAAAAAAAAAAAAAAGAATAATAATTTCAGAAATGTACTATTACACTACAGCTTTAAAGGTTTTGATGAACTTTCGACTTGATGGCCAAGTAAGTGAAAACAGTAGTGTTGCTTTACTATTTTTTTTTTTTGATGAAAAGAACAGCATTTATTTAAAATACGAATATTTTGCAATATTATTATTATTATAAATATATTTACTGTCACTTCTGATCAATTTATTCCAACCATGCTATAAAAAAACATCCATTGACCCCAAACTTTTGAATGTTAGGCTATACAGACTATATATTGTTTTTTTATAGGAATCGTCATTTTAAACAAACAGGCTGTCAAGTAAATTTTATGTTCAAACAAACATATCATAGAACATATGAATAATATTTAATTAATTTAATTTATCTGAACCAATATAACAATACATTAAAACACAGCGATATCTTTTAGTACTAAAACAATATTTTGCAATATTATTATTATTATAAATATATTTACTGTCACTTTTGATCAATTTATTCCAACCATGCTATAAAAAAAAATCCATTGACCCCAAACTTTTGAATGTTAGGCTATACAGACTATATATTGTTTTTTTATAGGAATCGTCATTTTAAACAAACAGGCTGTCAAGTAAATTTTATGTTCAAACAAACAACAGAAATCATAGAACATATGAATAATATTTAATAAATGTAATTTATCTGAACCAATATAACAATACATTAAAACACAGCGATATCTTTTAGTACTAAAACATTTAAAGCATGTAAATTGCTCTAAAATTGTCAACGATTATGCAAATTAATTATGAAAACAGTTTCTGATTTAAAGAAATAGTTCAAACTGAATTCAAGGACATTAGTTAAACTTCAAAAATATACTGCCATTTTTCAAACTGAAGTTTAAATCAAAGATGTTATTTATGCTGTTAAAATCTCAACATAACACTACCATGTTCCCTGAGAACAGAAAAAAGCCTTAAAAACAGGCCCAAAAAAATCTACACAATATACATAATCCTACTTAATTGTTTCTGCATCAATATAATATTGAATACATGACAAAAATTCAATATAACAACCCAGCCCTAGTTAGAATCTGATTAATGGAACTGGATCTGATCAATTTATTCCAACCATGCTATAAAAAAACATCCATTGACCCCAAACTTTTGAATGTTAGGCTATACAGACTATATATTGTTTTTTTATAGGAATCGTCATTTTAAACAAACAGGCTGTCAAGTAAATTTTATGTTCAAACAAACAACAGAAATCATAGAACATATGAATAATATTTAATAAATGTAATTTATCTGAACCAATATAACAATACATTAAAACACAGCGATATCTTTTAGTACTAAAACATTTAAAGCATGTAAATTGCTCTAAAATTGTCAACGATTATGCAAATTAATTATGAAAACAGTTTCTGATTTAAAGAAATAGAGTTCAAACTGAATTCAAGGAAATTAGTTAAACTTCAAAAATATACTGCCATTTTTCAAACTGAAGTTTAAATCAAAGATGTTATTTATGCTGTTAAAATCTCAACATAACACTACCATGTTCCCTGAGAACAGAAAAAAGCCTTAAAAACAGGCCCAAAAAAATCTACACAATATACATAATCCTACTTAATTGTTTCTGCATCAATATAATATTGAATACATGACAAAAATTCAATATAACAACCCAGCCCTAGTTAGAATCTGATTAATGGAACTGGATCTGACAAGAAAGCTAGTACAGACGCCCGTGGCACAGAATAAGAAAACAACTGCCAACTGCAGCAGTCATGAACTCTTGAACCAAGGATTTAGCAAACTCATCCAGGTTAGTCAATAACTCACATGGTGCACAGAAGGTTTCCAGATCCAACACATGATGTGAATTATGGGAAAAGAAACGCATCATATCCTGTCTGCAAGCTGGCTGCAGGTCAGTGGACATCCAGATGCTGCAGTGCTTTAAAAACTCCATTTAGAAAAGTCTGAACACCATCACCTGCTCGGAGGATACATGGATGTGAGATGTCCACTTTCACATGCATTATTCAGCTCTGTTCAGTCTTATCATTTAAACAGAGATGGATTAAAGTGGGCAGATCTTGATGGGGATAAGAAAGAATTAAACTGATGTAGTGTACTTGTAAAAACCAAACAGTGTTTGCTCAGAAAGCATGCTTGATGTAGTTGAGGCATCTTGAGTTTAAGAGTATTTTTAAGTATTCAAGTGTACATTTATTTATTTATTTATTTTTTAATATTCACAGTGGAATGGATTTACACATAGTACTGGCACCCAGACTAATACATAGGGCCTTTCGCACCGCGGGAACCTTTTCATAGTAACAGAACTAATTGTGGAACTACCCACTTTTTGGCGTTTTCGCACCGCCGGAACTGGATGCGATTTTAGTACCGGACTGCCTTTTTCGAGAACCAAATTAGCTCCTACTCCAGAGCAGGTCCTCCATCCTCCTGTTGTTAATGTTGTTCTTATTTGTTTCTGTTATTGAACGCCGCGCACAAATGACGTCACTGTCGACCGGCTTAAGTCACTTCTTAGTACACACTCTCGGTGCGAATGCAACCCTTTAAATGGTACTGGGAAATAGTTCGCGCAAAATCGTCCCAGTACTTTAGTACTGTACATTTAGTTCTGGAACTGAAGCGGTGTGAAAGGCCCTTATGAGAGGATAAAAAAAGAAAAATTTAAGAGCAGAAAAAATATATTGCATTTAACAAATAAGTGGACTTACTAATATTACTTTGCATAATTTCAATGCTAATTCGACAACACAGCACTTATTTTGAGTTGAGTTGAAGTATAATCATGCATAGCTTAATACCATGGTAATTAAATATAACTATGGTTTCTATAAAACCTTATTTGCCATTTGTAATAAAAATATTTAGAAATGGCCATAGTTTCAAAATAAAAATGAATAAAAAATGAATTACTAATGGTTTTGGTAGCTGAAAATCAACAAATTAGCCAAAATGTTAGATAAAAGAGCATGAGGCAGGGGATTTGTAGAGATTTGTGAATAACGATCGTTCCAATTCAGTGCAAATCTGGAGCTTTCTGCAGATGCTGTGTGGGTCAGTAAATAAATAAACTTAGAAGCAGGGATATAGACGGCTAACTAATTAATCATTCTGTGATCATCAAAAAAAAATGGCAAAAACAATTTAGAAAATAAATAAATAAATGTAACAATACAAAAATGTCTTGTTATAAGCATCTGCTAAATGAGTACAGAGTAATTCATTGTAAACGTAAAATTTGCCAACGATTGCATTCCTGCTTACAAAGTAGAAATTACCCACATACAAAACAGGCACATTCTAAGGCAATGATAGGTCAAGGAAACAATGAGACATTTTGGGTGTTGACCCACATTAGTGCACCATGGCCCTGTCGCAGTGACTCCAGCCCTCCTGATTGTGAGCACTAAACTGGTTGCACTTAACTTGTTTTGACAGCCGATAAAGGCCAATTAAAGCCTGCAGGTTGTGTTTTCACAGGCCTTATCCAGGACATTATCAAGAAGCTATTTTTTCCGAAATAGGTTTCACTTTGCATTAATAACGGTAAATCTGACAGACCGCCAAACGCCGTAAGGCTGAAGGACTTCAAAGGAGAATAAAATGCATTACTGGCATGCAAGCTTTGATGTAATGATTCCTCAAGTGTGCGCTGTGATCAATATTTAACAAAGCTCTAATAACGTCAAAGTGCTTCAATATAAAAGTGGGAGAGTACAGTTTAAAACCACTCAGAAAATGCAGAAGACGTCCAAAGAGACCAAGACACTTTTCAGATGGGAAACTATCTGGCGAAATCAGCACAAACTAAAAAAGATATCAAACAGGCTAGCAAATCAGGAAAAAAATAGAAGTGAGAGAAATGCTCTTTCACCAAGACTGAAGAGAGGAAGGAAAAAAAACATGGGTTTGTTGACAGCAGATCTTTTCCAAGCAGTGTGTGCCATGATCAAAAGAATGCTACATCTAGATGCTCAAATATCAGGCCGTTTCGTTCCTTCAACGCCGCCTGGCTTCAAACTGTCAAACACAGATTAAAGACAACGCTTGCTCTGTTGGGTACAAAATCAATCTGCATAGACAGACAAAAATGAAGTTAACAAATAGACAATAACAATATTAGGTCTAGGGTTGGGTACCAAACTCTGTACTTTTAAGGGTACCGACCGAATTGCATCTGTACTACTGAGTACCGATTCACGTTAAATCAATTGGTGCCAAATTTCGGTACCGGAGAACGCATCTGAATTCGTCAATTTTGGACGAATAAATCAAAAGTAGCCACTGCCACTTAATTCGAATCGCTAGTGTCTATGAATATTAAAATGCAAAAAAACGGTTTAAATATGAATCCTGCATGTTTAAATAAAACAATTAAATGATAAAAAATAAATAATACAACTAGATTAATCACGTAATTGTAGAAAAAAATAATACAATTATTAGCCTATTAAAAAATGTTTTAAAGGAATATTCACACAGTTTTTCTTCCATGTATTAATTT